TATTTCCTGACAGTTGACTTCAAACTACCATGACCCCACTGTATGTCATATTCCACCACTTCCACAGTACTCAACCCACCTTTTTTCCACCTTATCTACCTTCGTCTTTGATACACTCTTCTGTTCCCCCCACCCTCTTGAATTTTTTACACCTTGATGTTCCTTCCCCTCTGTGAAGACCGAAGTCAACTAAAGGGCTAATGATAACAATCAAAACGCCTGCCATTTGATATAATAATAATATAATAATAATAATTTTCCCAATGCCTAATCGAAGGGACCTTTTGTGTTTGTGAGCGTGCGCGCACACGCCCGCAGAGGCCTGAGAGCCAATGGTCGAGAAATATTAGTGCAGAGTAGCATTAATTGTGCAAACTATCTCCCCATCGGACCTCATGCACTCTCACTACTTTCGAATATTTTGAGATCACCTTCATGCTAAATGCCTCTGTAATTGTCTGCAGTTAAGAAGACTTCCAGGACGATTGTCAACGCTTTTCAACCTCTTGATTGTTTAGTTATCCCTACAAATGAGACCTCTTTTTTGAAATTTTGGATAAATTTTGGTTGTAAACATTTTTTTGCGACATTAAACCACAGAAACATTTGGAAACTAAGAAATAGCTTTTTTAAGGAAAAACACAGGTTTTAATATTTATGTTTTGGTCTATTAGAAGACGTATGGGTGTGCAAAAAGAATATCCTCGACTTTTAATATCATTTTATGCCATTCAAAAGTTACCATACTATTGAAAGAAACAAAATAGGAATTAATAATTAATTAATTAATAATTGTTCCAGATTATTTAAAAAAGTTACATAAAAACCTTTGAATACATTTTTGCTCGCATATTAAACAATCTATAATTTCTGAATTTAATTTTCATAGCCACAAAAAGAAATGAACAATGTAACCGGCAAGGTGTAAAATAATTACCGTTGGACTCTAAAAACGAAAGGAAGTTGCTCTGTTGCATCTTCTTAACAAACTGGAATAAAGTTTCACAATTTTCGCAACAAATTTTTGGGCCCGATTTTTTTTTAAAAAAGATTGGTTTATGTGCAAACAACAATCGAGAATTTGACTAAGATTTATAATATGAATAAATATATGTGACCTTTTTAATATGGTATATATATATATATTTAGGGTAATAATTACTTTAAGAAAAATAATTAAATCGGCTCATGAAGATTTCACAATCTGCCTAATCCGATTATTTGCTTAATCCGATTTCACCTCGATTCCACACTTCGAGGGGTGATTGAATCTGTTCATTCAAAATGTTTTTTTTAAAATTTTGTTGTTAGTTAAATAAGTGACGTTCTTAAAAACATGAGAAATTTTTTATTCACTAACCAGTTTGGATTTGTCAATCAATTGTGGGCACTTTGCATTCACGCCAGTTAGTTCTAAGTACTCAAATGTATAAAGTTGGATGTAAAATCTATTTAAGCTAAGAGAGGTCATTTCATTTGCGTTGAATTAATCATACATGGTACTAATCTAAGAGATCCAATTTTCACTGTAAAGCGTGTCTCTTGGCAAATGAAACCACCATTGAGTCAACTTAAGGAAAATAGAATGTCCCTAAAATTTCTCCAAATTCGCGCCAATTGTTATTCAAGTGCTAACGTAAGCATAGTGCAGTTCGTTACTTTTAATCAAATTATCAATTATTTCAAGCACACTGAAGAATTTGACTTCTTTTTGGAGGAAGCCACTGGAGAAAACTTGAGAACTTATTGCGCCTTCAAATTTTACTGCATTCAGCACTTTACAAGAGAAGAGAAGTTGTATAGGATGGGAGAGTGACCTATTCCACTTGAGGATCAAATAAGTCGAGAAACTCATTTCTTGTCTAAAAATGAATTGGGGGGGAGGAGGAGGGGGGTTGGTGGGTAGGACCGATCAACATAAACAAACAAGACGCTGAAGACTGAAGTCTTCGACGACCTTGAACAGTCATTAACAGCATGCAATTAGAGTCTTGAAAAATGAAATTCAAATATATTTGACACCCCGATTTAGCTTTCAATATTGTGTATTTTGTGGTAATTTGAGTTTACCACATTTACTTGAAAGCGTAACTTGTTGCAACTAAGAGTCTTTTTACTTAAATAATAATAATTCTAAATATAATTTCAATATTATGGAGATCATGAAGTTGGTTATAATGCATCCGTTTTGTTGCCAGCAGATTGTGGTCTAAACGCGAAGTAAAGATCGATAATGGAGATTTAGGTGATTAAAAATCGATAAATATCTCCTCGACTGAGATTATGAGTCTCCCATACTGGAATGACTGAAGGGCGTAAAAATTGGGAATTATTTGGTAATAATTGACGGCAATGTAATTCACTTATTTACTCGAATTGTTGACAAAACACCCATAAATATATCTTAACTAGTTGCCACTACCTTGACAACTTCGAGTTAGAATGCAAATTAGAATGCAAATTTTTTTCTCAAGTCTGGACTTTTGCTCTTCTGTCAGGCTCATTCTATAAGTCACGGCTAGTGAAATCCTATTTATTTATTAGGGACTCACTAACTTTACGATGTTTGAGGTCACAAGAGGTCGCCATTTAGAAAAATCACATCACAAGTAGGAATCTATGCTTTGTAAACAAATGAAAGCGATCGAAGAAGGCCTTAAAAGTCTATCTTAAAATGATAAAGAGTATGCATTAAGTCACACCTAAAGTGTCCTTTTTTATGCGCAAATGGGCACGATTTGCATTTAATTAGATTGTATCAATCATTAGTCCAATCTGGTTCAAGAATGCGCATATTCTTTAGTCGATTCACACGTCGATGTGCTAATTGAAATGGACAATAAAACATTTATTCAGCTGACTTGAAAGGAAGTCATACCTGCTTATGTTAAGGCAGAAAAAATTGATCTCCTTTTGAAAAAATAGCAATAAAGGTTGATATAATGTTTGTAGGCAAATTTAGTGCCAAGGTGACGGATAAGATCTTCAAGGTCACCCATGCCATGCTCAAGGCCACAGGTTCTTCGTGAGAGTAGCTTCAGGAAATACAAGCCAGTGGTTGAGCACAAAGTGGATTATGTGACCTTATGCTTCTTATTTGAAAGCTGATAAGAAGCTTAAATATGCAATTTTCGAATTTGAAAATGATCCATTACAAACATAAATGGCGCTCAAATGGACTCCCCATGTAAATTAATAGTATTCAATTTATGGCTAATAGTCAATAGGAAATTCTTATTGACCAAGAGTTAGAGAGATTAGAATAGAGGCGCGTTTGATTTACAAATCTTTGTGTAAATTAAAGCTAATCTTTTGCTCTGAATATCACCATTAATAAAAATGTCTGTTGAGGAGAAATAGCTCGGAACCCAACAACATTACTCTTATCCCATGCTAACCGAAGGTCAATTACAAGTCTCACTTTCAGCAATGTTTACTATTTTACACTTTTCATTTCGTGTTTTTGCTATGTTAAAAATAAGTAATTGAGATCCATAAATGACTGCCTTTAAGCGCTCTCCTATCAAATTTGAATTATTCTCCACCTTAAAATTAGGCCTAATCTTAAACTTCTTACCCATCTAAATTCATCAAGTTCTGCGTCGTTGTTTTAACGTTTCAGCATAACCAATTTTGGCAAATAATTAGTACCTAACACTTAATTGGCTCAATTGTATCAGCATGAGCGTG